TTCCACGGGAGCAAAGGAAATACTCACGTGCTTACGAACTCTTTTTAAGTCAGGGCTTTGGTGAAGGTCCTACTCACCCAATTGGTGTTTCTAACACTATCGAGGAATAAATGTAGTTCTACCTGCGAGCTATGTGCCATGAGGTGCCTTTCACCCTTGGGTCTCAATTAAAAAGCCAACTCTAATACCTGGTAGCATCAGTCCCCTTGCTTGAAATTAGAGCTGGTTGATACACGTGAACATTTTTTTTTCCTAGCAAGTGTTTCTTCTAAATTTGTGGCATTTTTGTTGTTGTTGAAGAAAGCATTGCCATTTTTCATGGTAGTTCTCCAACCACCTAGGAAGCTGAAGGGACAATGGGGGAGGGCAGGCAGAGAGTGACTAGTCATGTGGCAGAAAACTTGTCACTTTGTCTGACCTCATTTAACTGGAATGAAGTGTGACAGCAGTTTCTGTCGATGTGTTTAGTTCTTTCCCACCTTTGCAGCATGGCTGCTTGGGTGCTAGTTCATTCCAGTTGTCTGCTGGTGCAACTGATGTTCAAAAAAATTCTTGACACATGGTGCCTTTTAGACGTGGTGATAAGGTAACTGGACTCACTGCATGTTGTGTCTTGAACCCATACTTTGTCATCCTATATGATACTTTAGACGTCATATAATTCTTTACCTTTATGAGTCTTCATATTTTACTTAGTGGTTTCATTCCTTTTGTCTTAGAATGTGACAGGGAATTAAAAGGCTCCCAATTAACATGTGAACTTTTTTATACCTCTCCCTTATTTGCAGTAAACTTTCCTTTCTTAACTGCATGTGGCATTTGATAACCTTTACTTTATTTTCTGCAACTAATTATTTTAGGTTATGCTGTCTACTGTATAGTTCAGCTTATTATGAAGCTTATTCTGCTAGCTCTACTACAGAACATATGGTCTCTGTGTGTCTTCATCTGTATTGCTTCTCACTCCCTTATTTATATCTTGTTTCTTTACTCTCTGGAGGATGGGAAAAAAACCCAAGTTGTTCCCTACACTGCTATACTAGCTTGTTGTAACCACAATCTTACTCCAGTAAAAGTCAATGAATGTTTTGCCACAGACTCTAGCATGGTCAGGATTGGCCCTATGTTTTAAAAGTCTAGATCTTCACTTTGGCACTGCACTGCATCTTCAAACAAGGACAACACAAAACAAATGCAAAAGCACAGGCAAAGGGGATCAATACATTTGCCACGGCTTTTCTACAGTCTAATCTCCCCCATTGGCCACCTCATTTCTTTAGTTGCTCTCCTTCAGGAATGGTCTTTCTGTTTTCACTCCTGTCTGAACGTTCGTAATTTCTCATGATAAAAGTTCAGCTGAAAAAATCTTCCAAGTTCAGCCAAATAGGAAGGCTCCTATAGTAAATGGGTCACTGGAACAAGATATAGGAGGCATGAGTTCACGTCAACTCAAATGAAAGTCTCCAGTGTAATTTTGAGTAAGCTACTTACAGCCAAATCAAAAAGATGAGAGGCAAAATTTGCGTGCCTACCTTCGAGGGTGTGATCCTGAAAACCATAGTCAATCCGGCTAGCCTTTGGAAGTACCTGACGTTTATTGGTGCCTTTAATTTTTTACCTTACTTTTCCAGAAGTAGACTTGTGTACCTGTGCAGAAGCACCTTACCCACTTGGCCCCCCTACTTCATTCCTAAACCCAACTGGGATTTACAAGTACCTTACAGACTAAGTTCTGTAGGTACTTGATCCTGGTACAGAGTCTGGGGTCAGCAGATGGCTGCACCCTGCCTTCTAGTTAGGTAGTCGGGAGGTGGGTTTAATTCCATCCATAAGTCAGATCATACATCATACACTACCAAGCATCCACAGAGGTTGTAACCACTAGGAAATCCATTGGACAGACCTGTGTTTTGAATCCCACCTCTTTCTAGGCTCAGAAAGATGCCTCCCTCCACCTTGGAGTCACAGCCCAGTCTGCTCCCTCTCTGGGAATGAGGCACCTAAATGCATCTTTTCAGAACACAGGAGGAGGAGATGGTGCCCTTCCTCTCCATTCAATAGTCCAGTGGTTACAGCACTCAGTCAAGACTGGTAGATTTAGTTGCAATTCCTTCTTCTGCTTGAGAGAATTTAACTTTGCATCTCTACTTCCCAGGAGAGTCTTCATTCCCTGCTCTTCTCCCCCCTTTCCCCAGCCCCTAGACGTTAATGTGTTTTCAGATGGATGCGTACTCTCATTTCTGTTTCTTCAAAGCTGTTCCACTTTACTTATTCATTAAGCTGGAGAGTGACAGACTCCTTAACATTCACGAGAGAGAGAGAGAAGAGAGGCACATCTTCCAGCCTCTGCTCCACTGAATGTCACTGGTTATTATATCAGGTCAATTGTCAGCAGTGCAGGGGCTGAAACCCAAGTCTCCCCCTTGCTCTTCCAATAGGCTCTTACCCTATTAAGCTCGAACCCAATGCCTTGCCAGGCAAGGAAGGTCTGCTTCTACACACACAGCTAAATTTATTAAGTATGTGACCTTTTTTTTGGCTTCTTACATGAAGTTTAGCTCCTCAGGCTCAGACGGGGTCCACTCCAGCCACCTACGCTTTGATGTGATCCCAATCCGATTGTGACGGCACAGTATGAACTTCAAGTATGTGAAACTTTAGTCACAGACAAGTCACATTTGGTGAACATGTGCTACTGTGGGAGGTGAATCCCAGATAGACTTGGCAGGGTTTTCTTGACCAGATACTCAAAATGGCAGTGCTCTGGGCCTGCATAGTAGCTGAACGTCGGGTGCCTACCTCACGTTTTGCTAGAAAACTTAGTTACTTAGGAGGTGTTTAGTGTCTCAGCTACCTCACTACCACGTAGTTGGGTGAGGCGTCCCATCCCACAAAGAGAGGGCTAGTGTTTGCCTACAATGTGACTATATGTGCTAAGCAGCTTTTTAGCAGACTCTTTTCCCCCACCAGATTACTTTGTACATGCAGGTCTAACTCATGCTTTGTCACAATTACGGATTTTGCCACATTACTGCTTGCAGGGCTTTGGACTAGAGACTGGATAGGGAAGTGGTGTGAAACAGGATTCTTAACCTTAGCTGAAGCAAAGATCCCATGCACATGACCCAGGTCTTTACAGAAATGTTCTCATCTACCTAAGAGATCTGCAAGCCTTAAGTGAACTGTCTTCACTGTTTTCTCCATGTGAGATTTCTGACAAAACATTCACCTGCAACTCATACTGCCATTTCCAGTTAAGTACAACACCCAACCCAAACCACATGACTATCTCCCATTGCAGTCAATATAAAGTGCCCAAATACCACTAAGAGCCTGGGCCAGTATGGCTGGCAGGCAGGCAGGCAGAAAGGCTCTTTATAGCAGGATGGAGTTTCAAAGGCAGAAATGACCCTGATGCATAATGAGGGTAAAAGGGGGAAAACCTGCTGTTTGGGTCTGAAAATCTCACTTGTTGGCCTGTTCCAGCCATTGCTGCTTCCTCCACTCTGCATCTAAACAGCAGAGAGCAGGAGCAGCATGCAGAGAGGAAACCTTTTCAGTGGAGGAATCACTGGAGATCAGCAATCAACAGATGAGTCATTCAGAACTGCTGAGCCATTGCTGACAGGTGCAGTGGGCTCCAGCATTTGCTCCCTTTCATTTCCTGTAACTGATACTCATGCCCTGCTCAGGCCCAGAAAGACTCTTCCACAAACATACTTTACACATTCGGAGAAAAGGAAAAGTATTTCCAGTGGTTTTGGATACCTGAATTGTGGCATCTTTCTCAGGTTTTGTTGCAGTTGCTGGGGTGCTTTATGTTCCACAAATTAGAGTCAATAGAAGTGCTTCAAATGAGGCCATGGTATCAAGGCTTTATTGGTGACACTTTTGCAATCTCCACTGTGATACTTGATGGCATGAAACAGATTGTCTGGGAATCATGGCTAAACCTAGCTTTTGGGACATGACTTAGAAGACAATAACGAGAGAAAATTGAGGTGCATAACTTGAGTTACGGGATGAGCACAGCAAGAAGGATGAGAAATTATTTAACATGACATCTATGAAACAAGGGGTCCAAGTATGCAACTCAAGGGAGAAATGAGTCCATCCTATAAAAACCTGACAAGGCTTGCATTTGATTCTGGTAATGTTTTATTATCAGTTCCTGGGACACCAGCGTTTTTATAGTACAGAAATGAAAGACAAATAGTCCCACTGTTTCTTTTTGTAACTTACATATTTCGTAAGGCTGCTGTCTATTCCCTCATGTTGCACCAAAGATGCCTTCCCTTGCCCCAGGCAGGACTTGCTATCTTTTACAGGTGTCTCCTGCCTAGACTGTGACTAAAGACTGTGTTTTCATGGCTAGAAATTCTAACTGACCGATAACATTTACTCACACATCTCTGCAAGTTGTAGATAAGCCAATAAATCATTATTTCCTTTAAATAATTGGAATTACCTGGCCTTAAAAGCAATTCTGGTATTGAATAAGGGACAACTGATATACCAGTTGTTGGAGTGTTGGAAAGAGGCTTGAGGATACAAAAAGGAGACCACAAGCAAAATAATAGTTTTAAAGGGGGGAAAAATGTACTTGTGAAGCAACATGGTTCAAACCCTCATCTTATATCAACTGATAAAGCTCCCTCTGTAGCAAGGCAACTGTGTGCCCTGAGCAGCTGCAGCGCCCCTGTGGAGGGCAGTGCTGGCTTCCATAGTACAGATGATGGTGGGATGCCCAAAGGCAGTACCTGTGGCTGCTGCTCCCTCACCCCCGCCCCTCAGTTATATTACTGAGCTGCACTGTGGTGAAAGATCCATCTTCATTGGCACAGGTATCTCATTGTACATCTCTGAAAGAGCAGGAACATAAGTTGTTGAGAAGGACTGCCGGCGTTTTCAGCTGAAGTGTAATATAATGGATAACGCTATGTTTACTAAAGGTTGAGAGCAAAGCATTTGGGAGGAAAAGGTGAACAGTTATATCACACTGTGATGCACTGACACAGTAAAGGTACAGCTGAGCAGAAAAAATGAAGGTACCAGTCTCTGATGAAATTAATGTTCTGTGAAGACTCTCTCATTTAAAATCAAACTCACTTATAACCTTTTCTCTGAACAGCAAATCAAAAAAAATCTATCATGCAAAAGCAGTCAAATGGAAGACAACAATAGGATTTTTAAATGAACAGTTTTATTCATGAAAAATTCATTAAAATGTGTAAAATATACTCAAACATATTTGATTTGTTGACTGTAATTAAAAATATAAAAATATACTAAACAAATACATAAATTAAATTGACAATAGTAGCATGGTTGTGTGTTCACTCAGTGCTTGTTAGGAACACCAATATAAGTAATTATATAGCATATCAAAACAGAATATATACTGAAGACATTGTTCAAGGACTTGACCTCAGGCATAGGCACAAAATTTACGGCTATCCATTTATAAAACTTTTTTTTTTTTTTTGCAATACAAAATGTTGCTCCATTACAGACCGCTATATCCACTGTATAACCAAAAAAAATTTTTTTAAAAACATTTGCAAATCATCCAGCATTACTGATACTGCATACTAAGCCCCACAGTATTCGCTCACTATAAAACTACTCCATCATCATCATGTATTTCCTGCCAAAGTCTTTCAAAAACCCAAGTGGAAACTAGTCATTGATCTAACATGTAAATCAAGAATAATACACTTATTTGCTTTGGTGATACAGGTTTTAAAAGCATGTCAGAAGTTTCAATCCAGCAGTGAGGAAAGGGGAGGTCAAAAGCCTGCATGCCAAAATGAACCCGTCAGGTACTACACTGCAGCCTCACTGTAAGTTCAGAGATGAGCCTCCAAGGACTATTGTTCCTACAATTCAACATTGTCCTGGAGCCCAGAAATGTAAGAGTGGGTAGAGTGCCATCAATAAAATGATTGCCATCTTACATTTCAGCCTGTTGACTCAAGTGAATGTCCTGGAAGTGCTGGGAGAAATTTAAATAACTGCATACAATTGAGATGCAAGCCAGTCATGGATAAAAACTTGCATACAAACACCACCTGAAGTAGCTGTAGGCCATACTTTCATATCACAGGTGAGGTGCTACAACCTGTAACCCTTGGACAAGTTGCTAGTATAATCAGTCTTTATTCTCATACCCTTTATCCAAGATTTTAGCGTTAAGCACTGGAGCACTGCTATGTTCCAAGTGTTTGTGTGCTCACTGTTGTCAAATCAAAGCCTATATACCAGGAAACAATACACAACTGAAATATAAAGGAGGCTCATTCTTCTTCTTGGGTACTACACCTAATGGGAAATCTATGTATTATGCCATAAAGTACTATTTTTGGCAATATTAATCAATCAGCTATATAAATAACTATAGCAGCAGAGAAAATTTATAAAGTTGCACTTTTATGACATCTTCACAGTATGCCTATTTCTATCATTTATTTTAGTGACCTTTTTTTAAAAAAAATAAAACTCGAGCTATGTGAAAGCACTTTTGCTAAATGTGGTAGCAGATCTTGTATTTGTATTGCACAGATTTAAAAGTATGACCTTTTTATTATTAAACACATTATAATCCAAACATTATGAGTTAACTAAAAGCTCAGTTCTAGAAACACTTAAGCTCTTGCTTGACATTTCTCATGTAAGTATTTCCATTAAATTGAGCTGGATTACTCACATGAATAAAACCATGTCTGTATTTATAGAGGTCTGCAGGATTGGGCTGCAGGTGTGTAAATCTTAAATTTATGGATTAACAATTATATATTAGTATTTCTTTTTTAACCTTACTTTTGGGAAAAAAAGAGGAGGTTTCTGGTCATCATAAAGCATATCAAAATCTTGTTTGCTGAAGGAACGATTTCCCTTAAGGGTAATCTTCTTTCAGTACTGTCTCCTTCAAATCCATCCTTTCTACAGTAACAATTTCCCATCAGTCCTGCTACTTAATTTGGGAGGCAGAGTGCATATAATTAATTAATTAAATTAATAGGTGTCTTACATGAAAGGATGCTACATGGATGCTGGCTTGCTTATTGATTTTCAATACAATTTATCTGGCTTCATATGATTATGTAAACTTACTAGTTAGGAAATGGAACAAGGATGATATTGTGTGTTATGCAGTTTTATGTGGCATATATTATTTGTCTATCTAGGCAGAGATGAAAAATTTTTCAAGACCACTTTACCAGAGTGGTTAGAGCCAATCATTACTTTATGAAGTAATGAGGAGAAAAAGGTTTTATGAACTATGCACAATCTTAGCATGAAGAAATGATGAACATAGCTATCTGCCTGGACACCATTGTTTTTGGCTGCTGATTTGTGAACTTTGAGGGTGTAGTGGAGGGAATTTAGAAAGAACAAAAAGAGGAGGATGATTTGTGTTCTATTAAAAATGATGAACTACATATATGCACAATTTACAGTCACAGACCCTTGTCCTGGGATCATATATTATTGACCACAGTTTAATTTTCTCAGCAAAAAAATGACACAGTCACATATAGCAGGGGATAATTTATATGGTACATTTGATATTCTTTTTCACTGTAAGTATTCTCTTGGTAACTAACCTCATGCTTTAGCTTAGTCATTGTTGAAAAAAAAGAGTGAAAAGATAAGGGCTAAAACTAACACACACAAGAAAAAGCTGCTGGTGGCTTTATAGATGCAGGTCCCACCTCTGCTAACCTGTCCTAGTTTAAGGAGGAAGGAGGTTACATACATAGAAGTGTCATGCTTGTTTGCCACTGACTTAGACAACTAGAGCTCTGCCACTGAGAGGGACAATGTGGTCATGGACCTATGGAGGACTATCATTTCTCCTTAACCATACAAAACTCTTCCCCTCCAGGTGAGGAAGTAGAGGTTGGCTACCTCTACCTGGTTCTTCCCTTCTTCTGCTGACCCCATGAAGGGGGTGCCCAGGGAATCCTGAGGTTCCCACCTGAGGCATGGAGGGCAAACATCATTCTCATGTAGAACTGTCTGAAGAATTAACACAGCTCAGAGACTGGGAAACTTCATGGAAAAGGCGGCCTCCAGTACAGCTGCAGAAAGGATAACCAGCCAAGAATCTGGGGACGCTCCAGAGTGAGTGCGAGGGGAAGAGGCATGGCATGGATAATTCTTTCCTTGCAGTAGAATCTGAGAGCTTGGTGAGGCTTGGGGGAGAAATCCCTGCTTGTTCTGTGTTGGACAAATGTATCTGCCCTACTCGATGGAAAGACCTGGGGAGATTCTGTAAGGACAGCCTCAGGTTTTGCTCCTGTCATGTCACTTTTCATGGTCGTCCCTCCTGTAACCAGGACTCAGCCACCCCAATGATAAAAAAAGAAAAGACTTTGGTTCCTTCTCTCTGTCTCCGAAACCTGGGTAAGTTTCTTCATCCAAACCATAATCTATAATTCATTTTTTATTTTGGATAATATTTTGGAGGAATGAGCCATTTTCTCCCCATGACTGGGGGATGCCCATTAAGTCTCACCCGGACAGTATCTAACTAGCCTGTAATGGAAGGATTGACATGCCAAAAATAAGGAATTTAGAGTTCTGGAAGCTTATCTGAAAAAAAAAAAATCCTTTCCTCCAAGCAGTGATATTACTGCTGTCAAGGAAAGTTCTTAGCTTTTGTCTTGTGTGGCAGGCAAACTTTCCCAAGATAAACTGTGTGGGAAGAGATTATAAAGCAGCAGAATTACCATGCCTTTTCTTTCTCCTTTTGGAAACAATAGTATGTTAAAAGAATTTCTAATGATATTTTAATATTGGCATTTCCCTTTCCTCTTAATTCAAAATGAATTTTAGAAGACAGACAAATGACATTCAATAGAGTATTCTGATTACCATAACTTAAGGAGAAATGTCTCTTCAGGAGGAAAGAACGATCACCAATGTTTAGCAGTGATACAGGCAGCCAGATCCCACAATTTGTACTGGGGAGCTGTACATTTTTAGACTCTCGGTATCCTAGGCACCTGTAATCCAGTCCTGCCTACCTTTTAAGGTGTCATGACAAAGTGACAAAGACTGCCCCTTGTAAGAGTCTGTAGGTCTGTCATTGGGAATGTACATATATCAATTGAAGCTTTCTCCTATTAGCCATATTCAGATGATAATGTACAGGTCCTGTGGTTAGATTCTGACCTTGGTTACAGTATTCTAAAGAAATCAGAATCTGACCCATTCTCCCAACAGACAAAAGAAGTTCTACTAGACTGCAGGGCATCGTAGGCTCATATTTTCCCACTAACTTCTAGATTAATCTGAAAGAGTGGCTTCTAGTGAGGAGAACTCTATTCTAGTTGTTGTTTGATGTTGGTACTGTAAGTGGTACATCATGGTGACCCTAGTGTTATAGGTCAGATCACATTTTGGTCAGATCACAAGCAATCAGTTTAAAGGCTAGAAAAGCCCTATAAATCCTATGCAGAACTACTCTTTTATCCAATACATAGCTGATTTCATCTCAGGAACACTAAGCCAGTTAAAAATGTGACCATCCTTAAAGAATATTTCCCTGTATGCTAAGTAAGCGCCAACATACAACCTGTCCCAAACTCCGCAGCCATACAGGTTAAAACAGGTGATGTAGAACAGTTAAAAAAACTGTAGTAAGGAAAAATAGTATTATCTGAAGCTTAATATTAATATAAACATTATAGAAAAAATACATATTTACATAACAAAATACAATTATATACAATAATATCTATTACACTTAAATTATATATCTTTTTTAAAAAAAACACCAGACTAATAAATTATACACAGTCTCAATAGAAATGTCTGGCACTTCTCTAGTGCATGAAATATTTTTTTTTAAAACCCACAACCCCCCCCAGTTACAGCTCTGATCACAAAAGCAGGCACCTGAGACATTCTTAGTGCCTTGAATAAACAGCATCTGAAAACAAGGAAAACTGAGATTAGAAAAAAAAATCCACCAGTCTGTATTAGCCTCATCCTTACCAGATGTTTTTAGTGCTCAGGAATGTGATCGAAACCAATGTGACGAGAGGGGGCTCTGGGTCCTGGGCACCCTTCTGCTAAAACACGTCAGACTTGGCCTCTTCAAAACCTGCCACACAGTGGTGGGAGTCTGCCGTAAGGAGTATAATCATCAAGGACTAGATGTACAGAAGAGTTTGAGTGGTAGTGTAACGGGCTGGACAACTGGGGCATGAAACAGAAGCTGCCAACGGGGGGTGCCAGACAGGAGGCAGAGGGCTGTGCTCAGCCCGGGCTCGTGCAGGAGGCTGAAGGCTCTGGCTGTACACACTGGGGAGAAGTCCCCTCATTAGTCTCACTCCTGCGCCCCATCCTGTGCAGCCAGCAATTATTGGGTTAACCCTTTCACAGCTTTTAAAAGCTTTTACAGTGTTGTTCTACATACAATTCAGTGGCAGCTGTTGGACGGTTAACCTCATATCTGTTACAGCAGTGACATCTCCCATGGAGGAAGGGAGAGTGAGGCTAATGAGGGGACTCCACCCCCGACTCCCCACAGTGGGAACCTCCAGCCTCTGGGTGAGTCGGTGCCATGGCAGGTAAGACTGCCCACCCCCACCCCATTCCTTTGCACTCAGCACAGCCCGCCCCCAGCTTGGCCTGTGGTGCCAAAATAGCTAGCTGTGCCACTGAACTTGAGTACTTGTCTGCCACGGGGATATATAAGTCCAACAATAAAACACTACGGAGGGCTTCAAAGATGTCTCTCCAGCTTCCGTCTAATCCTATAGGGTCTATATAGGTCTAAAGTCCCTAAAGTTTAGGAGCAGGACCCACACTTTTAGCTGTCTGCCTGCCTAGGTGAATCCACAACATTTAAGTTAGATGCCCAGGCTCCCCATCCAGTACATGGGGAAAGTTAGACTCTGAAGACAGAAGGTAAGCAATAGGAAACACTTATGACAAGGATCTGTCTCTGGTACTTGAACTTCCTATCTGGCGTTGCAGGGGGATGCTACCTTCCACCTGGGAGATTCCCAGCCCTGAACCCTCTCTTGGAATTAGGTTCCTAAACCTATTTTTAAAAAGGGAGGTCAGGCTAGTCTTTTCCTTCCAAATTTGGCCTGGGAGGTGTCCCCCTCAACTTTTTATCCAATAGCTCACTTGCTTATGTAAGATAGTAGGGGGCAACATTTTTTGGAAGGCATGCCACAAATTAGTCCCATACCCTCCCTGAGTGCCCTTTCCCTGCCTGATCTGCTACTCTGCATTCTGCTACCTGTCCTGTACTCCCTGACCAATTTGCTGCTCTGCTTTCTGCCTCTTGCCCTACCTACTACACCATGTTGCCTGTCCCCTTGCTGATCTATTGTGCACCACACACAGAGGCTGCAGGTTGGCTATCCCTAACCTAGGATACGGGAGGCCTGAAGGTCTGAAAACCACATCATGCACTGTGTAGGCAAGTGGGATGTGCATAGCTGCCCTCGGCACCTCCTCTTGAACACTTCGTTTCAGGTGAACTATTTAAACATTCACTGGGTAAGCAAAAGGCTTTACTGGTTCCAACAAGTTGGGCCAGACAACTGGAGGATGCGAGACAAAAACACAGGTAGGAAAACTGTTGGTGAGGTGAAGAAGGAAGCAAATATTTCTGGGAGGAACAGGTTTTAATGAAGCTGTCCCAGGATAAGGGGCAGAAAGGCAAGGGAAGTAGTCAGGAAACAGCATTGGGAAATATGCATTATATGAATGACTGGTGAAGGAAGAATGAAGATCAGAGACAAAGTGAGAAGGGGAAGCTGAAATGTAATAAGAACACTGCTGGAGAGAAGTAGGGAACTGCCAGAAGGGCAAGAACAGAAGACAACTTTAATTTTAGTATTCTGGATAGGGTGGAAGGGTATGATAATACTCAAGGCAAGAAATGATTCAGTTTGCCCCTCTCAAATGCACAGTTATATCTGAGAAATTGCACAGCTTCATAACTTTGTCCCTACCTCTGTGATACTCTGGATTCACATTTTCATAGATTGGAAACAATGGATTTTCTTGTTCATTGCGTAGCTTTCTTGCTCGTAGAACATCTCTCACACACTGATGTAAATAGACATACTGACACTGGAAAAGAGGGAGGGAAGTATAAAAAATGAAACATACAAATGAGTAAGCATTTTTGCTATTTTTCATTACTCCTGAGGACATTTAATATTAAAACATAAAGCTCTTTAAATTGGTTTTTTTTAAATTGGCTGATCGACATGCAGTTTTCATTTTGTGGTAAATTTCAATGTTTTGGAATTTATTTTCATTTCTAATTGGATCAACATTATATCTCTTCAAATATTTCCCACAAAACAAAAATTGATTGCAAAATTTTGAAAAAATGTGAAAATTACCTTTTTAATAGCCCCACAATTGATTGCGGCCTAACACAATGAGACTGAAAACAGCCTCTTCTGTAATTATTAGCTGTTCTTGATCAAAGTGTCAAACTGCTTCACTACAACACAGACAGGAGACACTTTGATCTTAAAAATAATTTATGACATTTCAATTAGTGCTCACAGCAGCTGACCAGTGACCTCAGGAGGCCACCTAGTCCAACTCCCTGCTCAAGGCAGCATCATCTCTGTTTAAGCCGTACTAGTTGTTTGTCTAACCTATTCTTAAAAATGTTAAAGGATGGAGATTCCACAGCTTTCTAAGTAGACTGCTGCAATAATTAGTAAATTATTAAATTAGTAAATTAGTAAATTCTCTCTCATGTCCACAATGTTGCTTGTTGCAATTTAAGATGGTTACTTCTTGACCTGTCCCTAATTGGCCTCATCTACACGTGACACTTAATATGTTATTAACCAGTTAATCATGCCTTAAGTGATCACCTGGCTATACATTCAATTAATTGTGCAGGCAACTGTTGATCCTCTGGATCATGGTGTACACATAAGTGGTCTAGTCAGGTGTCTGATGAATCTGCTTGTACACAGTCCTGTGACCATCACACCAAGACCTATTACATGTATACTTAGGCAAGAGAATGGAGGAGTGGAGGCTGCCCAGGACCTACCATCCCCACTTTAGACCACTGAGACAGAATCCAAAGGCCAGACTGTGTCCAGATGTTCAGTTTCTTGATGGTTCTCCTAGAACTGCTGCTTGACTGCCTTGGTGCATTTTGTCAGAGTGATGTCCCTTAGCTTTTCTCCAACCAAGGAATACCCACAAAGCAGTGGGGGCTAGGGTTCTGAGGCACCCTATACTCAGCTTTGTCTCGAGGTTGCAACACTGTTTGTATTTTATTAGAGCTACCCTGCCATGAGTAGTCTCACCATGTTGTCACCAATTCAATCAATTAATGGCATGATACAAAGTTAATTAATGGTGTGGCTGCACAGGTATGCCACAGAATATTTGTAATAACTTTATAGCTGCTTCCTATCGTGCCATTAATTGAATGTGTGGCTAGGGGCCCCTGTGGCTAGGAGCCCCATCAGCCAATTGGAACTTCCACCTGTGGGAGACCCATGTGCTCCCCTAAACCTGGGAGCTCCCAACTGACAGGACTCACAGCCATAGGAGGGGTGGGGGGGAGTCCCACACACCCTCACAGCTGGAAAGCCACAGCAGCTGTACTTTCCCAGATGTGGGAGGCTCTACATAGCCTCCCACCTGTGGGATGGATGGAGCCCTCCATGGCTGGGGGATTGCATCAGCTGCAGCCTCCCATCGGGGGTGGGGGTGCCTGAAGCTTCCCTGTGCCTAGGAGATTGTAGCAACTGTGGTCTGCTTGCTGTGGGAGTCCAGGTCAGCGGATGAGGCTCCCAGCCATAGGACTGCATGGTGTGGCCCCATGGCTGGGAGCCCTGTCAGCCAACCCAGGCCTCCAGCCATGGGACTTTGCTTCTTGCCAGTGCAGGAGGAGCCCAGGATCATGTGACATGGCAGGAAGCACAGTTGTGTGAATCACATATTAGTTCCTATTATGCTTTCACTTGCATGTGTAGAGGGGCCCTTATGTTTCAGAAAACAGTTGAGCACAATCCTCTTTATCGCTACCAATTCGGCATTTAAAGACTTATCAAATCAAATTTAATTATTGTTCTGGGAATGTTTCTCTACTGCTCTGTCTCTAAGACAATTAAGAAACCTGCTGTTATGCACATAAAGTTGCTGTCACTGTGGAACACAGTTCTTCAACCCACCCGCCTATTCAGTGCAAAGGTGGCCAGGGCAAAGAATTTTTACTGATCATGTACAGTTAAGAACTTATTGTGTAAGTGAAATGGTACAGAGCTTTACTGCCTATTAGACAGCTGAAGTGCTGAGGTCATTGCCTTCTTCATTGATCATGATGGTTTCCTTGTACTCCTGTCATTTGTCTTTAGGGCTAGGTACAGATGTTCAAAAATCCCAAGGAGGAATTGATCAAAGTGATATGGTTTTGTGTAAATGGCATAGTTTATGGTGCACTGGTAGTGCACAAAATACACAATCACCGGTGGGGTGGTGGTGGTGGGGAAATCTTAGACTGGGTTCCACCATTTTTAAACCAGTCTATGTGTGTGCCAAACTTCTGTTTGGTTATGGGTACAGACTGGTGTATAATCACTTATACTGGTAAAGGTGTAATGTCTGTACCAAGCCCAAAAGCTCACAAGTGAAGTCTGACTTGGACAGTCTTTTTTGTTCCATGTTTGGACAACAGAGTGGTCATTCATGACTGGAGCTCCTATGCACTATGGTCATACAAATGATCCCATATGTTTAGCCTCCTCTACTTGCTTGAAGCGACCCCAAATTAACAGGTAATTTACACATTAAAATAGATTGAGGAAGTTGTTCTAATCAAGCCATGAATCATCATACAGTCTCAGGATCAGCAGGGACTGAAACTCCTGAACTCACGACATCTGGCTTGTATTTTGGGATACAGTCTGCAAAGGGGGAAGCAGCAGGGTTGGGAAGGAGAGGACAGACAGTGCAATGGCAGCAGCAGTTTTGAAATATTTGACTTTCTACTCAAGGGGCTTGGGTGAGACTTTAGGTATAATTGCAAAGATCTAGATAAGGGGGAAGAGGTTGGGTTGTTTCCAAATTATATTTCAGGAGTTCTTCACACTACTGCTACAGACATTTTATTTGGGTCTGTTTGCATTTGACTTGGACTCTCTCTCAGGCTCACATTTAGAATCCACCACTCAAAGGAAAAAGCTCTGATGGTGCACTAACTAGAGTTCTTCTATTATTAAGATAATATTAATATTCTAAGAACCCTTTTACATTGACAGTAGGGCTTTTCTTTTGCTTGTACATGACTTCTGCAGACATCACCAAACTTAGCAATGTGTAACACTGCGAATTATAACAAAAAGCAACATTAGCAGCACACTACAAACAAACTATCAAGGTTACTCTAATTACTTTAGTAACAGTGGCACAGAGCAAACCTATAGATAGTCTGACTCTGTAACTCCTTAAACAAGGTCCTGTTTAGCCACATTACCTTAAAGTGACTTTTCTTGCACTTTTAAAAGCATAGGCGACTAGTACCTTCTGCGTCTGGGGGGCACCCGCAGAAGCTGCCAGTGGTGTTGGCAGCAGGGATGGAGCTGGCGAACACCCACAGACGCCGCCGGCGGTGATGGTGGTGGGGATGGCTCTGTCAGGGGGCACGTGCCCCCCCCGTGCTCCCCACTACCAGTCGCCTATGTTTAAAAGCATACAAAGGCTTGTTTTTTGTACTCCAACACCATGTATACATCCCCCTCTCCATAATGTACTAGAAAATGATTGATCTGTCTTCCCAGTTCAATAAATACTAGGATGTCACACAGCTGCAAGGTCACAGTGCTACAGTTTTAAAATAACAAACACTTGAATAACTATCTCCCTCCTCTACTGCTCTTTCCCTTTATGCCCACCTATCTATCTTAGGTTTTTCCATAGTATCCATCTCCAATGTACCCAAGTGTTTATACGTGTTTTATTGGACATTTGTCCAATTCAGTAGCTCTTGTACAATGTGCTGTGTAATGTCTGCAGCATTACATCGCTAGAGATGAGTGCAGTTCAGTGGTAGGTGAGGTGTGATTTGTAGGACTCAGGTATTTCTTAGCTGTGTATAAAAACTTGCTATGTAAAGGCCTGATCCAACTTTATGGAAGGCAATGGAAAGAATCACAAATTACTTTGTTTTCAAAGTGCTAAAATAGTTCTTAACTATTTTACATTGGCCCCTCAAGGTGCAATTTATGAACATATGTCAAGTGCTTTGAGATCCATGTTTCTCTATAAGTTCAGCCTGTTAATTTTAATGATGAATTTGCTTCATAGTGGGCATGTCTACATGTGCCCCCGACTGCACAGTTGTTACTGTGCAGTCATTTAGTACTTGTTAAAGCTACACATGCTACCATTACTGCACAGTCCCAGTGGCACACGTGTTGTTTCCAATCCTACTGCACAGTAGCAATGAGCTACTACACAGTAGTGAGTGTTGGTGTCACGGTTTGCACCTGCCAACTCTAAGTTGCCTTAGTGTCTCGTGTAGATGCACCCACTGTGTAACATCCAAAACTTACCTCTGTTTGAACCATGTGAACCCTGTGCAGCCTCAGGTCATACACTGCTCCATAAATATCCACAGAATCCTTTGAATCTAGTTGTTGAAGGATTCGATCCAGTGCAATGAATGTGCCTGTTCTACCAACACCGGCACTGAAAAGAGAGTGGGGTACAAATTAGCTGTGTCAAAGCTTTGGCCATCTTTAAATTTCACTTCAGCAAAGTACAGATTTGCATTGCTAAGGTCCATTATGGTGTATGCTTTACTTCCATTACTCAAATGGCAGCTCTAGGACTTCAGACAAGAAGTTCATAATGGAGGTAGTTTCTTCTTTTGGAGTCATAGAAAAGCTAACTGAGGTATCTATGATTCCCATGAAGCACAATTTGTCAACTTATGCTGATATAAACTGTTGGTTATATTGAACTAAGTAGCTTTTTAAAGCCTTTTTCTTACTAGAGATGAATCTGTGGGTTCTAGTTTGATTCTGACTCTGGATCCAACTTAGGTGGTAGTTGGATTTAAACTTTGGGCAAGGTTCTTTGGTCTATGTTATGGATAACAACAGATTAGATGGTCAGAATGAACTCTCCTTTTGGCTTTAAAAATCAGGATCCACGTCTGTAGTTTAGATTCATCACTCACTACATCTCACCTTGCCTTACTATCCTTTTCTAATTCAGGTGTTGGGCCAGGTACATCAGCAAAAAGAAGACTTAAAACTACTACAAGGAAGTGGATTCTCCTGGAATAGCAGGTGAGTCAGGGGAAGGGTTCAGTCTCAGTGTGCTACTATGAGCCTAGCAGAAGCATGATTGTCCCCTGACAGCCATTATCAAGAGGCACACTTAGGTCCCTGGTGTCTTCCAGCATAGGGTTCAAGGTGCTAAATGCTGAAGCAGGTACTTGGGAAATATAGTCCATAGTTTGTACCTTGTGGCTTTCCTATGAAGCCAAAATTATCCCATGATAGATACCAAATATGTGATGCCTTTTAAGTGATTTTTATAAAAACTATGAACCACTGACATTCTGCTTTCATTTATACCTGCAGTGCACAATGGTTGGTCCAGTGTCTGGAGTCCTGTTGATGTAATCCCTCACAGTTCTGACAAACTGGATGAGGGACTGTGTGGTCTCTGGTACTCCATGGTCTGGCCACACTGTGTAATGAAAGTGACGTATGAGTCTCTTCGAGTCAAGTTGTTCTTCCTGTCAGATTACAAAAATGTGGATGATCAGAACAGTCGGCAGAAGTGGATGCGCTCACATACCACACATGTTTTTGTAGTGAACACCACATTGTATTACAGCTGCCACCAGGGAGTAGGTCACTGGAGAACAATCGTGCTGTGTCAGATTTACCATTCTAATTTATCCTAACAATCAGAAATAAAAAGGTTGAAAAAAATGAACATACACTGCAAATTTTAAATTCTCGTATTGTCCATTCTGGAAGCACTGACTCAGACAGCATCTCCACTATTAGGTCTCCATAATACAAGGAATCCTGGTCCAGGGGCCAGTAATGATCACATTTCACCTGTAAGAACACAGAAGAGAGTGTTTCAGTTACAATGACAGCTGAAACCACCTTGTCATGTTTTAAGTTCAGGCTATGTGCTGACATTTTACAGAGGGGCTGCTCATGGTCTCCCATCAGACAGGCATGATGGAGTCACTCTTCAGTAGGTGGACAGTGAAGGCAGCTGAAATAACTTATTTATACAGCATATCAGCAAGTGTCTCAAGTGCTAAGCACATGATTGGTCTCACTGACTAACTGGCCATTGTGTATATCTTGCTATGTTAGTGTCTTGGAAAGATAGCTTCTACATATAATTATAGCTGGCTGCACACTGGTGACTGCTTTTAAAGTAGAGGTTGATCTGGTCTGACTGGGCAAACTGGGAATGTTGCTTGGTAGCTGCCATCCTCTATATAGGAATCAGAAGTTTTCATTTAAAGACAAATAATAATTAAGTCTCTAGTCCTTATAATTATAAGACAACTGTACAATCTGATTAGATCATAAGCTAGTTTAGTGAGGGCTGCCCAAGGAAGTCTGACATCCTGAAACAACAGTTCTGAACTGCTTCATTTATGACAGGGGATAAAGCCTAATTCTGGCAATTAAAATGTCAATATTGCTAAGTATTCTACTGCTGATCAACATTCATGAAAAGAAGAGGGATTATCACATTAAGAAAATTAGCTGTAAGCAGATGTTTGCTTTAGCACCTCAAGTAGATGGAGCTTATGAGACTCCTTTTTTCTCTTACTTTGATCCCTGAATAACAGAATGACTGGGTGTACAAAGAAACAGCTCTGGTTTTTCATCTGCCAAAATACAGGTTTCAAAAAATACAAATGCCACAAAGCTGGCTATAATGGTAATGTGCATATGTGTGTGTATGCAGGGACTGGAAGTGTAGAATAAACTAAAATGCTTACACTTGCCACCTGTCTCCATAACATACATGGAAGATATATTTATGGTGGTGCATAGTCTATCAGGGTTTTTTTTGTTCATCATGAACAATGAAACAGGTAAGTATATGGCCCATAAAATTTCCACAACGTAATATGCTAACTTTGAAAGACAAGAGCAGAAAGTAACATGAAGCATAATATGAAAGTAACATGAAAGCACTGAGATTATCTCATGCTCTTTACTTGTTGCCACCTTCCCATATTCCATCCTTTGTATATTGTCATCCTTTACTACATTATAACTTTGCACTGACTCAGATACTTGCTTTGCAAGTATTCCCATTTGAAGACACCCGTTGTTCCCAAGGTTGGAATAATCAGGCCCTTACAGCTTTTAAAGTCTCTAAGACTGTGTCCACATGAGCATGGATGTTTGTTTCCCCAGGGACAAGAAGCAGCGACACACTTTGTGCTGCTGCTACTTGTCCCTCGGTCGTATGGCAATTTACCTCAGGAAGGGTGGAGGGAGGGTGGGCCAGGGTGCCTAGACAGTGGTGTTAGTTCTGGTGGTGGTAGCAAGAAGGAGTCACAACCATAGGGAGTGCTGGGAAACAGAGTCCTCCGTGGGTCTGATC